TTTGGTTCGATCCGTGGTATATTTTTCTGAAATTTCCCCAACGTCTCATATTATAAAGAAATAACATCCTAAACAAATCGCCGAGGTTAGAATTAGAACCCTGGTTTCACTCACGGAACAGTAACGTTCTAACCGCCTTGTCCATGGTTCTCATTATATGAATCTCCCTTATCAAGCTTATACTGTGATATAAAAGCAATAATACAAACAGGACAATACTTCTCTTCTATAAGACAAAAATATAAAATGACTCCTAATTCTCAGAAATATTTTGGACATTCCCTAGAAAAAACACTGAGATGAGAGTTAAGGCATGAGAACAACATACCCTACAGATTAAAGAGAGAGTTAAATGTGAATATCTGAGCTCGAACAACAAGCCTTTTCTAGTTTTATTTCCTCAGGAAGTTGACAAGTTGTAAACGTGACGGGCGGAAAGGGTCGTTCTAACATCGATAACCAAGAAGGTGATTAACAGGAAATAGGCAAGAGAGAATAAGACAAAGGACACCGGAAAAAGGTTATTTCTCCGAGAGGACACATCAACCAGTTTCGGAGACATTTAGTGTCTTCCTGCCAACCTACCACCTGCGCGCCTTTAACTTTCTCTCATTCCCACATTTCTTGCACGCATTGAAACACACACACATACATCACATTCATATATATATATATATATATATATATATATATATATATATATATATATATACGAAGAAATATAGTCTTAACGTATGCTATATTTATAAAGTGCTCAATATCAGAGATAGAGCGTGTGTAAATATAAAAATGAACATTGAAGTCAACACTTAGAGATGACAGCTAGGGGACGAGTACTGTTTATTTTTTCTCGGCTATTTATATATAAGGGTCAATGGTGCATTGTGGGTAGTCTATTTTGGCGGTTATTTTACCGGAAGTCGTTTATTTGTTTATTTATTTATGTATTTGGGTTAAATTATTTTGCTTGTCTTTATTTATTTTTATTTATTTTTTTCTTATCTTATATATTTATTTTTATTTTGATCGGTGTTTTATTAACGTAATAAAAAATTGTTTATATCTCTCATTTAATAGTTTTGTTTTGATTTGGGAAGATAATTAAGGCTATTTATTTAATTTTGGTGTTAATTGTACTTTATTCTAACTATTATTTTGACGGGAGCAGTTTTTAATTTATTTATTACTTCATGTATTTATTGATTATCTTTATTTGTTTTTACTAACGGCTAATTTATCGGGATCGGTTTGTTAGTTTATTTATTTACTTGCATTAATTAAGATTAATTTATTTTACTAGTTTTTTATTATTTATTTATTACACTGTATATTTTTATTTAATCTTTTCGGTTTTCGATTTTTAAGTAACGTAGTATTTTTTATCGTTATATAACAGTTATAGCTATGTTTTTCGTCCGATTTTTGGTTTGATTTTTATAGTCTAACTAATATTTTTGTCATAATGGTTTGTTAATTTGTTTATTATTTACTTTATTTATTTGTGTTCATTGATTTTGTTTTTTATTTTTATCTATTTTGTCTATTCTAACGGGTGTGATTTGCTAATTTGTTTGGCTTAATTTATTTTACTTATTTTATTGTCATTTTGTTTATTTATTTATTTTATTTTTTCAGTTTTTGATTTTTAAGTAACGTAGTAAAAATTGTTTTCATGTCTGCATTTTGAGATGAGCTCGGATCGTTTATTTAATAATTTATTTGAGTTTGGGAAGGTAATGATAGCTATTTTTTCCCCCAAGTAAAGTTTGCAAGTTTTTGATTGGTTGTTGTAGGCTGATGATGTTTTCCTTATTTTCCAAGATATCTTTGGTGTGATGTGCGTTTTGTTTTCAGTTTCCCAGATATACTTAGAAAGCATTGCGCTGTTCGCGTATTTACTATTTGTGAAAGATGTTTTGTGCGCATAATTTCTTTGTTTCTAAGGTCCTTCAGTTACTCCTATATATACTTTTTCTTCATTATCTGGTGATTTTATCGTGGCTTGGTATATTACGTTGTTTTTTAAACAATTACCGTTTAAGAACATTCGTTCTTTATTCTGCAGTTCAAGTGGGTTTAATTTGTTCGTGTTGATAGTTTTCCTGTTGTAGTTTTTTTATTATTTGTGTCATGTTCTCGGTGCAACTGTAGCTGATTTTTACTGTGTTTTTGTTGAATATTTTGTGTAGGGTGCATGATTCCGGGAAGTGTTTGTGTAAGAGTTTAAAGAATATTTTTCCTACGTTTGTTTTTATGTTTTTGCTGTACGGTGGGTTGAACCATATGATATTTATTTTCCTGTTGGCCTATTTTGTGTTCTGTGGTGAGTATGTGAGTGTTGCTGGGTATCCACTATCTTTTAGGGCTGTTTCGTAGTCTTTCTTAGCTATTTTTAAATATGGATTCATTGGAGGAATTGTCGGAAAGCCTACGGTTAATCGATTTTGGTATCTGATTATTGAAGGCGGGCGGTTGGAAGATGTGTGTATATAGAGTGTTTTATCATTGGGTTTTCTGTATGGTTTATATGTGACTTTTCTAAGGTTGAAGGTAACATCTAGAAAATCTACTTCGTTTATGTTACTTTTTATGTCTATATCGAATCCGTTATTTTTGAAAATCTTTATTATTGCTTTTCTAGTTTTGTCTGTGTTTTGTTTGTTACAGTTTCTTAAGATCATGAGACCGTCGTCCCTGTAGAGTCCTGTGTCATTTCTATCTATTATTTTGCTTACTTCGTGTAGTAAGTATATACCTATGATTTCGAAGGTCTCTGCACCGTCAAAATTCTGCACGACTCCCGGCAAAATAACCGCTAAAATAGACTACCCACAATGCACCACTGACACGTATATATAAATAACCGAGAAAAAATAAACAGCACTCGTGCCCTGACAATTGCGTCTAGCATGAAACAGACTGTTGCCTCTAAGTATTGACTTCTATGTTCATATATATATATATATATATATATATATATATATATGAGACACACACACACACATATATATATATGAGATAACAATACAAATTTTTATATATCACAAACAATATTAAGGAAAAATGTATGTTGGTGCGACTACTCACGAGCACAAGCGAAGGCTGCTTGTAATTAAAAATTTTAAACTTTTATTTTTTAATATCAATCTCACCGACTTTTTTTTATTAGATATTCCACACTGTGATAATAGATACCATTCCTGGCAGAAGGAAACGATCTAAATGAAATCAACTAAATTTAAATTTAAAAATTCCCAGCATCCCTCGTCCGTGTGCATGTGTAGTCATACCAACATAACAAATTTAGTCCGATGCATTCCGAAAGGACGAAACGCATCATACTAAAACTTTTTTCTACTTCGTCATTTTTCCCAGCATATATATATATATATATATATATATATATATATATATATATATATATATATATATATAAGTGCGTAGGTATGCAGAAAATAGAAAAGAACACGTTGGGTGCATAATCAGGGGTTCCTTAGTATTTTTTTTTTTTTTATTTTTAAGAAGACAGTGCTCCATACAGAAGTAGAGCGTATATTATAATAATATTTTTTGTTTAAAAATATGATTCCTTCGCTACATAAGAGTTCTCATGTTTCAAAAACGAGAGCCGAAATATCCAAATAATTATTAAAATTAAGTTGGATTGTGGTGTTTAGTCCCGTTTCATCTTCAAGCGAAATTTTAGGAATAAGCTATCTGTCGGTTTACGTGTATTTTTAGGCCCGGTCCGTTACAGAATTCGTTATTGTGGGAGTGGCTAGACTATTTTCCTTCGTTAAGTGGTCAGAGAGTTAATTCTTATCAATAGATTCATCATCTTCTCAGAGGTTTTGGTAAGGTTGAGTAGGGTACCTTACCAAAACCTCTTAGAAGATGATGAATCTATTGATAAGAATTAACTCTCTGACAAAAATATATTATATTATATATATATATATATATATATATATATATATATATATATATATATATATATATATATATATGAACATTCAATTTATGCTAATCCAAAATGATGAACTTCTTAAGAATATTCGAAAGGCATTCCATAAATTCCAAGAAATGTTCAAGAAAAATTGATTCCACAAACAAATGTGAAATACCTCTGATTGTTCCAACGAAAATTTTGAAAAGAAGCTATTAAAACTAAGATTTGATGTTTGTTGATCGATACAAATATCCGGAAGAGCAAATCTTTTAATGAAAATCTATCGCTATATTGTCATCATTATGATTATGCCAAAAGAGTGACGCCGGCGTCCATATATACGAAGCCTAAAAGTTCTTATCATGGCACACTGTCTGATCAAAGTATACCAGGCACATGAATTACAGCCAAATTTGCTAGATAGAATGGCATTATTTTTTTTATCAAAGTAACGTATAAACTTGTTGGTAGGGCCAAGTTAGAAATATCTTCACATCAGGTAACTCAGTCCACTCAGAATGACAACCAAGTATCAAGATATTCATTCCCAAATTGCTTTGTCTGCCTCACCTTTTTTTTTTTAAACATCTGTTTGATGCAATCAAACTTTTACCTGGGATCTAATGTAAATGAAAGTCTTTCTTAGAGACTTATGGGAAGAATAATTCTTCCGGTTCACACTCCTCTCCAGCTTTTTAGTGGCTTATCCCTTCTTTCTTGTTTAAGATTGGGTTTCCGTGTCCTTCTAAAATAGTTTTCATTCTCTTTTACTCTCAGTAGCCCCTTGCTTTTAGTGGCATTATCGCAATGCTTGGGGTGAATTCATAAAATAGTATGCGAGCGGTACTGATTAACATAATCAAGTATACGAATCACATTATATACAGTCTGATAAGGGTAGACCAAGCACATGAATCTCAGGCAAATTTGTGCGATGTGCTGATAGGTTTTGATAAAATTAGCGCATAACCTTGCAGGTAAAGCCTAGTTAGAAACAGCTTCAGATCGAATAAACTAGTCCATTCAGACAGTCTCCGATTGAGGTTGGTTTACGGTCACATAGCGTTGAAACACCTGTTCCAGTACGATGATTGAAGTTAAGCAACGTCGAGCCTGGCAAGTCCCTAGATGAGTGACCGCTTGGGAATACCAGGTACTGTATGCTTGGATGTGCAGGTGGTGTAATGGATAATGGCTCGGAATCATTAATCGAAGAAGCGTATTCCAATTCCAGTTGGGTTTGTTATATTCACTTACGCGTAAATACCCTTGGGAAAGGTATGATTCCACTTCTTCTCCCCTCAGCTATGGATTGATTAGTAATACTTGTATCACTAATTCACTATTTTCTACCCCCCCTCCTACACCAAAAATTTCTTACATTATAAAAATATTTTCTGGCTTTAAATAACATGCAATGGGTTGATAAGCCGTAAAAAACTAATCAATCAATCCGATTGAGGGCGTTCTCAAGATATGACTCCCAAAAGAGAAAACTGAATAAATAAAATAAAAATAAATCAGCCCATTCGCCACTTGGCCATTATTATTATTATTATAATTATTATTATTATTTGATATCTTCTTTGAATCTTAGATGACTTGGCCAGGTAATTATGGCTATATCTCAGCTCTTACTCGCAGCTTAGGCGCAACATGTCTTCTTATTAATATTTTCTTTGGTTTCTATTGTATACTCATTTCCACCCGGGAGACCTAATGTTACAAATGTATCATGATATTTTTCGTTGTATATTTAACTAAAAAAAAACTACAAACGCATACAGAATTAACATAGATAAAGTTCTTCGTAGGGTGGAAGTTGTGATGGTGAGAACAATTTTTGTATTTCATTAAGACATCAGCTACCAGGAAACCCTTTATTGAGTCTGTCTGAGCTTTTCCAATCAAAACCAGCATTCTAACCGCAACTGGAATAACTGTTGTCTTCATGAGTCACATTTTTCATTAAATTTCCACTTCAAGATCCTTGTATTTTGATAGATATTTTGGAACTGCCATGTCAATAAGAAAGTACATTTTGTTTTTGTGATCTTTGATCATTAGGCGAGTAAATCTGTAAAGTGCCATAAAACTATTACTGTTCCTACTGTAAGTGGGTCTGGGTGGTGTGCATAACAATTTCTTGCAGTTCCCTTCCTATAAATGTTGCAGATATTCCAGTGCAGATATTGACCCATCCTATCATGCCGAGTTTTGTTGGATGCTAATAGTGAATGTTGGACAATTTCCTCAAAGATGAAGAAGAAACTCAAAGCAACAGAAGTGTGGTTCTACAGAAGGATGTTAAGGATAACTTAGGCCAAACATGTGGGCAACGACGAGGTTTTGGAGAGGATGGAAATAAAAATGATGAAACGTATACTTAACATTAGGAAGAGGTGGTTGAAATTTCTGGGGTACGTAATGAGGAAGGAAAGCTTTGAAAATCTAATACTCACAGGACGAAGAGAGGGAAAGAGGGACCGGGGAAAGCAACGCGTGACATACTTAATGGGCTTGAGTAAGGGATAGCAGAACACGGATTGGGAGAAATAAGAAAAAGACAAAAAATATTAAGATTTATAAGGAGTTAAGTTTGTTGTCTAAGCAATCTAGGCTTTGAGCACTTTACTTTGCTGCCTAGGTAAGTTTGCCTTTAGACCGTCCTTCTTTTTTTTTTTTCAGTGTTGTCGTTTTTGTTCGAGACATTATCTGGAGTTTTAGGTTTTGGAAAGTTATCCGCTTGTTTCATGAACGGTATTGTTTTTTTTTAATAAAAATTATAGTAATTATATATATATATATATATATATATATATATATATATATATATATATATATATATATATATATAAACAAGTATGTCGACAAAGTATTCACTTAACCATGAATTAGCACAAATTAGAAAGAAAATATACATTTAAAGTCTTTAGAAGCAGCATCACATAAAGAAATTGAAAATGCACTCACCTTGCAGGTTTTTTTTATAATAAATCCAGTCTTTTAATAAGCCACAAATATAACTTTCCTTGACATATATGGGCATGGAAAACAAAATATAGACACACATATTACACGTAGATAATATACATGCGTGTTCTTTGTGCGTTTACACAAAGAACACGCATATATTTATCCAAATAAACGTACGATAAACCTCTATATATATATATACATGTACACTGTCTGTAAACGTGCTTGCATTGCTACAGATAATTTATATAGACAAATATGAAATCAAACAATCGCTGTGATAGATATAGATGTACACTTACCTACATCTCTAAATATAATAATGTAAAGAGATATACATGTATATTTCAATACCTACATCTTCTTGAATGCATCTTATTTACCAGCTCTCGCCAACCACTCTCCAACGGTCGACGTCTTCTTATCTCGGAAGAATGACCATTTATCACTCTTCTCTGTTTATCGGCGAACTGGGACAATAGCGAATGGCGCTTTACGACTGTTATGGCCGTGCGTCACCTCATAGAGCCAACACATTTATGGCCCGCCTGATGCCAGAGACGAAATCGTTATTCTCACTCATATATAAATCAATTTAGGCACTCATTGAGCGATGTTAAACAATCTTCACTGGTATTTACACATTTTATTTCCTAAAGTTGTGAAAGCCGTTTTAAATCACCATCCCTTATTTTATCGCAACTAAAATTTTCAGTGATTTTCAAAAAAAATCTTCAACTCTGTTTTATCCGTGCAAAAAATCGTTCGGTGCATTAAACTAAAATAATAATTTTAAATTTAATTTTCTTACATATCTAGAAATACATCGTGATGATGCGTTTTGCCATATCAACAGTGATGTCATTAAGAGTTTCGATTAAGCGATTTACTAATCGCAGCTTAGATGTGGCCCTAGTCCAAAAGTATAGAGCACGCAGTGAGGAACGAATTCTCTATTCACTCATGACTGGTTATGTGTCATGCGTGATACATTTGCCATCCTGGGGGAGAAGAAGGGTCTTAGCACGTAAATAAATGTAATGGATTAGACTGGAATTCGAACTCGGCTCTCCTGAGTCCGAGGCGCTATCCATTACTCCACCATGCCCCCATAACTGGTATCGATCAAATACCAGCCAGGTAAGGAGCTATCTAAACCGCGTTTTAAACTACGATTTTAAAACTAAAAACTACGATTGAAATCAAACGATTTAGTAACCGTAGCTTAGATCTGACACAAGGCCGAAAGTATGGAGCACTCAGTGAGGATCGAACACACTATTCCGTAATAAATGATCTAGCAAGACAAATTTGCTAACCATTACACCACGTCAAAGTACTCTCTAAGATTGAAATTAAAATATGGTCGATTTTGAGTAATTTTTTATATACCCCCATTTCTCCAATCAAATGCGTTCCCGAATCACCCCACTCCTTCATAAAAAGGGAAGAATCCAAATCGCCGATTTTCTCATTAACATTATTGACCGACATAGTTATCATCTTCCGACATTTTTTTAAAGAATCATAATTCACTTTTTTCATTTTTTTATCTTTCTGACCAAAATGTTCTCCCTGAGCTTTTTGCCTGCTTCCAAGGGAGTTCAAACATAAGAGGCGGTCATGCCTTATCAGGGTGGAATATAACTCCCGTTTTCATAACTAATTCTGTATACTTTCACTCGATTATTGGCATAGGGAGCAGTACTTGGTCGAATCAACCGTTTGGTTATCAGAAAAGAGCTGAAGGTACCGGCATCACTTTTAGTCTCACCTTGTACACGATTTCAGGTTTTATTATGTAAGTCAATGTTTTCACAATAAAAGTGGTATTAACCAACCGATGCTGATAAAAGATCAAGATATATTTAGCTGAAAGATATGTGTCTACTGGATATAAAGAGGGGATCAGTATTTTATTGCTCTTAATATGCTGATACGATCCATACTAGAATTATGTTAAATTTCATATCAACGTTTTCATATTAAAATTGGTATTGATGTTTGTATTGATGCTGTTTCAGGATGTACTTATATTTATATGAAAAATATGTAATGCGTACAAGTGATATAATGATAGATAATATATATTATATAATGATAAATAATATAAGCTAAAAAGTTTATATCATTTATCATTTATAACTTGTTTGCGGAGGGTTGCGTTTTGTTATTCAAATAAAATGTAACCTAATTAATGCAACATTAAAATAAATAAATCCAGAAGATACTGGTGGTTAAACATAACAATTTTCCCCATACGCTTGAATAAAATATTCTATTATATCATACAGGGTTCGATGTGTAAATTGACTCCATTTTATATTTTTAATTTCGCGCATGCGCATTGTTTGTTTTTGAATTTGTCAACTGCACAATAGAGTCAGTTGGACATCGTCCGAGAGAAAAAGACCACCATGACTCAATTCATTCACCCATAAATTTGGAAACGGCATGCTTTATTGCTTGGCATTCGCTCTGTAAGCTTTGATACGAACATTTCAGAGTGTTTCGGTGTCAGAGGATTCGGAAAGAGCTGGATGATTCTAATGGCGATTACGAAGGTGTTTGGAGTGATCACTAGTGATGTCTACGTTATGCCATTCATATTTAAATATTTAAATTTCTTGTTTAAAAAAATAAAAAAATATGAAAGCTCATTTTTAAAAAAATAAATAAATGAATAAGCCACGATGTGAGGTGTGGTAGAATGTCAAGAGGAGAAATATTGGAAATGTATCGGTGGGGAGGGTAAATGAAATATACATACTTTCTTTTCATCCCACCTCACATGAACTCGAAAGGAACTTTTTAGTATGCATACAACGCGTCATAATTTCCGATCTCACATTCAAAAGATTTTTGTTCTGGAAATGCTATTATAGATAACTTTTCTTGTTGACAACGGTTGCAGATATTACTATGATTGTTGTAATGTCTTGCTTTTTTAAAAGTTTTCCAGTTTACAATCGGTGTGTCTATGTATGTGCGTGTGTGTCTATATATATATATATATATATATATATATATTGTATATATATACATATAGATAGATAAATATATGTATGTGTGTAAACGTGTGTGTGTATTCACATTTACGTGAAAGTATATGTGTGTAAAAGTGTGTGAATATGTGTGTAGCCGTTTATGTGTGAGTTTTTGCATGTAGGTGTGTGAGTATATGTGT